TTGTGACTTTTTGCTATAAAGTCAAATTTGTCCTTGATTGAATTTTAATTGTGAGAAAGAATAACACATTTATGCATCATAGGTCCTGTGAATTTATTGAGAAGGGTATTTCGATCTTTGAAAAAATAGAAATCGAATTTATTAGAATTGAATTATCCTATATGTACAATTTAGTTTGACAATATTGATTGACAACACACATTCATTCATTTCAAATAAAAAAATTTAAATCAATGACCCAAATTTTGACAATACCAATATAGTCAAATTTGATTGTACAAATAGCATAATTGATTAGAGTTTGCTAAAAATATGCTAATTAGGTAGACCAAACATGGGCTTCGTAATCAATACGAACGTTCAACTTTATCAAATGTCTTTAGTGATGGGTGGACGGTTGTTGAACGCAAGACTTTTATCTATCGAAAAACCATGTTAAACCATTCGTGCATGATTGGTAAAGCTTAAATTTTGTAAGTGTTTAGAAGTTGTGATTTTACAAATCCGTTAATAATAAATGTGTAACAAGCTGTTAATTCTGTGAAATATATGTATAAAACTATGTTTGATTAATTTAAATAAATAAAAATCACTTCCCTAAATATGCATGAAGTGATCTAATTATTTTCATTCTTCGAAAATTATTGAAAATATGATTTAAACGATACATTTAAAGGAAGTTAATCAAATGTGACTTCCTGTATTTTCGAAAGAAAAAACTCATTTAAAAATTAGTTCTCAAAAATTTATTAAGTTAACATTTTCAATGAAACTTTTCTTCAAGAAGCACAAGAAAAATCCTATCAAATGATTCGCAATCCATTTATGTATAGTTTTTCAAATCTAAATATCATCTATTTAAATGACTTGAATGGTACAAATACATGTTTTATATAGATTTTTTTAGAATAAATTATGTGAAAAAATGATTTATTTTAATTTATTTTATTATTATTCTTATTTTTAAGAATGTATAGTTTAAAATAGTAGAAAGATGTGAAAGCAGTTGTAAAATTATTTTATTGAAAAATGTGAAGTTACAAATAAATTTTAAATAGTCCATACGGAAAGACTTAAGTCCCTAGTATAAGGAGAATGCCGAGAGACAGGTGACGCATGCGCATTGTTTGGGAAAAAATAGTTTTTTGTCAGAGGTCCAATGAATGTGCGCCATTTGTCGCCCATACAATCTAACAATTCTCCGTGTACACTTAGCAGGGTTGGTACCATAAAAGGGCGAGGTTTCAAAAAAGAGCGAGTTAAAAATAAATTTTAAATGACTATGGATATCAAAAAGAAAAGGGAATAAAATAAAAATACCAAATCCCCCTTCCCGCCCCTCCCCTACAGGTAGCCAATTCATCACCCACCATCCCCGAATACTCCCACCCCTGCAACCAAAACGCCAGTAGCCAGGAATGCTTGACGTACCCAAAATTGCAAAAGAGAGCGAAGATTAATTTGAAAATAGATTAATCAAGGACGAGTAAGATCTATATAACAGTATAAGCTGAATTTTTCGACTTGCTGCTGGGAGAAATTGATCGAATTTAAGGCCTATTGTCACCATGATCTTTGATTGTTTTCTTAAATGAGCAACTTGTGGCTTCATAATAGCAAATTTTACCATTTACTTTGACTTTGTGGCTATGTATAGCAGAGGGAAAACGTGAAATGAAGAATGAAGAGCAATCTCATTCAATTGAACTAAATCAGTACATTTACATGGGATTTAAATAGAAAGAAAAAATTTCATTTAACTAACTAACTAATCTCCTTAACTAGGGGTGTCCAAAAGTCCCGAATCGGACCGGATCGACCGAACCCGAACCGAACCGGACCAAATCGAGCGGTTCTTCATAAATTAAATACCCGAACGGGTACCCGAATCGAGAACCGATGGGTTTGGGTCGGGTCTAGACCAAGAACCGAAGAACCGAATAAGAACCGAAACTAAATAATTTTTTTATTTTTTATATTGAATTAATTAAATTATTTTATTTTTTTCTATACAAATTAGCAAATTAATTAAATAA